CGAATTTATGTCCATTCTGTAATATGGAGACCAGAATTGAGCTGCATAATCTAGGTGAGGCCTTACTAATGATGTATAAAGCTGCAGTATGACCTCTGGACTTCTGTTGCTTACACTCTTGATATAAATCCCAGTAATCTATTTGCCTTATTACGTACGCTTATGCATTGCTGTCTTGGTTTAAGGTTGCTGCTTACCATAACCCCCAAGTCCTTTTCGCAATCTGTATGGCTAAGTTCTACATTATTTAACTTATAAGTGCTAGGGTTATAGACACTCCCGAGCTTCAGAACCTTGCCCTTTATCTACATTGAACTGCATCTGCCACTTTTCTGACCAAGAGTAGAGTTTGTCTAAATCCTCCTGAAGGTCCCTAACATCTACGTTTGAATCAATTATCCTACCTATTTTCGTGTCATCGGCGAATTTGCTCATATCACTAGTAATTCCTTCATCAAGATCATTGATATATATTATAAAACAACAACGGGCCCAAGACTGATCCCTGTGGAACGCCACTTGTTATGGTCCCCCCTGGATTTAACTCCATTTATGGACCACCTGTTTCTGTCTGGGGCCCATGATTCGATCCAGAGGCCCCCTTTCCCCCCAATGCCTGGTACTACTTTTTTAACATTTTTGGGTGCAACTCTTCAAAACCTTACTAAAATCAAGTAATAATAAAAAATTCTTTATGTGGAAAACACCTCAAAAGCTTTACTGAAAAGAAATAAATTAGTTAACAAGCGGCCCCTTTTGAACCATCTGAGTATCATTAATAAAGCTATGCTTATCGAGATGGCTTCTTTTAATCTAGCTTAATGATCTAAAATTTTGGGCCTACAATTGGGGTCAGGCTTTTGCAGTAATTTAGGGGTAACGACTTTTCCCCTGTTTTTAAAAAATGGAAATTTCTTTAGCCATCTTCCAAAATATCAGACATACACCTGTTTGAAGAGAAAAATTAAAAAATATTATTTTTGGTTCACAGACTTCCTTTTTGCTTCCTTTAGAACCTTGAAAAACCTCTCAGGCCCGGTGACTTTTTTGTTTCTCGGTCTTTGCTTCACAACCTTTTACTAGTGACTGTGAGTTACGAAAATTTATTTCTTCTGATCCACTAAAAAAATAAATTACCGGGAATTTATTAGTGTCTTCCTGGGGAAAAAAACCGAGAGAAAAAAATTATTTAAAATCGAGCATTTTTCTTCTCTTTGTAGTAAGAGCCCAAGTTATTTTTAAGGGGACCTATCTTATCCTGACTTTTGTTCTAAAACCCGGAAAAAATTTTTTGGGTTAGTTTTTGAACCCCTAGCAATTTAATTTCATGTCCCTTTTTGCTTTTTTTACCCCTTTTAATGTCCCTCTTAATTCAATATACTTTTTAAAAAGATGCCCCTCGCCTCTTTTGATCCCCTTTAAAATTCCTTTCTTTGCCCTAGTAATATTTCAGCTATTATTCATCCTTTTTGGGTTTTTTCTATTTGTTTAAATTTCCTTATAAGGGAAAACCGTTTCTTTGAGACATGATTTTTCAGAAAACTGTAATTGATAGCTCTCTGCCCCCAAGTCAAAGTGTTTAAGTGTTCCAAACCCCACGTAATCCCTAAGGAAAATTGGGCTGTTACTGAGTTTCCTACTATCATATTTTCCCATCAATTAAAAATTTAAAGATTTTTCGCAGCCCCTTTCCGAAATTTCCCAAAAAAATTCAAGGGAATTGTTTCCCAAAAACTAAGTCAAGCGGTTTTTACCCCTTGAGGTTCTTCAAAAATTGCTTCAAAAAACAATCCTGAAAATATTTCTAAGAAGTGATGATTCAAAAATTTCCCAGTCAAAAATTCCAATCAATAGATTTAAATTTTAAATTTCCCTAAAAATTCACTTACGTGCTTGTGGCCCCCTAACAATTTCCTTCCCCATAGTAGTCCCCCTGGCCACATCTAAATTTGGGGGACGGATAACACCTAAAAAAACATCCCCAAAAAACCAACCCAAACGACTCTTTTGTGTTATTAATTTAATACCCATTTTTATGCAACAGTTAAAAGCGTTTTCGGGACATACAATGCCACCCCCCCCCCTTCCCGATATTCTATCTATTGGAACTTTTAAAAAACCCTGTTTTGGGCATTCTGTGGCATGTCCGACTTTTTAATTAAACCAGTTCGTAAGGGGAAAAATACATCTTGACCTCACTGAAAACTAGTCTCAACTCGCATCTTTTTCCCTAGCACTGCGACTAATTTGAAATAAATATTTAAAGCCCCTCCTCTCTCTTTCCCCTTTCCTGTCCTTTTGTTATTCCAACTAAACCCATACTGTCTTGTCAATTAGTGCCACGGCTTTCCCAAATTCCCCTCATTTTGCCTATTACTAGTTTTTTCCTAGACCATTTACTACCCCGCGACTTCACTTTTTTCCCCCCCAAAAAACCATCCACTAACTATTCCTAGTTTAAGACTAATGCTCCCTCCACTGCGTTGGCCCGTGCTCCCCCCCCACACCTAGAAAGTGAAACCCCCTCCCCGGCAACATGCATTTCTGCTTTAAAAAAAGGTCCCCCTTGTCAAAGAATGTTTCCGCATTTTCCTTTCAGTATTTGTCCAGCCAGCAATTGACCCAATTTTCTTGGGGCAACCATTTATTTCCAACTCCTCTCCTTGGCAAAATGCCAATCGCAGGTTTCCCCCCCTTTCCTCCTAATTATCTCTATTCCTGACCTTACCTGCTAATCAGGTCCCCCACACCCATTCGCCAACATCGTTTTTCCCCCAGCATGAGACAGATAAAGGATGTCCATTACCTCTTGATGGGCTCCAGATGGCTAACAAAATTCCTTCACCCCCGCCCCAGGGGAAAAACACTCTTGCCTCCTACCCTACCTTCAAGCAGAATGCCCTATCCATGTACCTAATCGGGTATCCCCAACAACAACAAATTTTTTTCCTTCCCTTGGGGTCGTCCGTCGTGATGCCCGGGGAGTGACCACATTCGTAGGTAGCAATTTTTTTAAACCCCTTGTAGAATTCGTCAAAAACGTTCTCGATTCTTCGTTGGGGTTCTAGGGATTCTTACTCACGTTGCCAAAAGCTTCTTTGGTGTCGTTGTGGCATTCCCCGTAGAACACTACATTTGCAGGTAGCACCCAGAAAAGGGTTGGAAGTTTCCACAGTGCTTCTGGTTTCTCGTTTTTTTCTGCCCCCTTTCCCAACCCTTTTCTTTATCTTTAGTTGGTTCCATGTTGCCCGGCCCCTAACCAAGCTCCCCTCTTAACCCGGGGGCTCACAACAGAAGGTTTTAAAACCCTTTTTTCCCCCGTTAATCGCCCTTTTTCCATTTAGAACTCGAGCCTTCTTCAGCTGCTGGTAAAGTTGCTCAAGAGAGGGGCATCCTGGTTCAATTTACAGGAGCACACAAACAGGTTTCACAGAGCTAAGTAACGTCACCACTGAGCTAAAAAAACGTCCCACTGAACTAAGACACGTCACCCCGCAAGTAACGTCACACTGGGCTAGTGACATCACCAAGCTAAATAACGTCACCACGAGCTTTTGTACAGTCACTATGACTAAGTACACGTCCCACTGAGCTAAGTACACTCACCACTAATTTATGTCATAATTTGGCCAGTTTTATTTTATAATGTAGACAGGGGGGTTTTTGAGTATGATACCAGTAATTAGAAAAGTTTGAGTGTTATCATTATAAATTTTCCCTTTTGTTTCCTAAAGTGTATATTAATCATTTATTTTAAATTTTTTAAACCAGTGTTTAGACCCACCCCCCCCCCGGTACAAGTGTTGGCTCAACACTTTACCAGTGTTGAACTCAACATGGCACCAGTGTTGAGACTCAACACTGGCACCAGTGTTAGACTCAACACTGGCGCTTCCAGGTGTAAAATTTTTACTTTTTATTGAATGTTTGTGGTTCTGGAGCAGTTCGTACCCTTTTATTTTTCTTCTCCAAAATCTTGGACGTTCTCCTTTCTTGTGCATGTCTATGCCTGGAGAGGGTTTCGGGGTCAACGCCCCCGTGGCCTGGTCTGTGACCAAGCATCGCGGTGGATCTGGGCCTGATCAACCAGGCTGTTACTGCAGGCCACACGTAGACTGACATACGAACCACAGCCTGACTGATCAGGTACTGACTTTAGATGCCTGTCCAGTGCCTTCTTGAAGATAGGCAGGGGTCTATTGGTAATTCCCCTTATGAATGATGGGAGGCAGTTGAACAGTCTTGGGCCCCTGACACTTATTGTGTTGTCTCTAAGCGTGGTCGTGGTGCTCCTGCTTTTCACTAGGGGAATGTTGCACCACCTGCTGAGTCTTTTTTCTTTCACAGGGAGTGATTCTTGTGTGCAGATTTGGTACTAATCCCTCTAGAATTTTCCATGTATATACTATCATGTATCTTTCTCACCTTCGTTCCAGGGAGTACAAATCAAGGAACTTCAACCGTTCCCAGTAATTAAGGTGTTTTACCATGAATGTTCTTTGTATACTCTCCAGGTCAGCAGTTTGACCTGCCTTGAAAGGCACTGTTAGTGTGCCGCAATATGCCAGCCTAGATAGAACAAGCGATTTGAAGAGAGTCATCATGGGCTTGGAATCCCTAGTTTTGAAGTTCTCATTATTTATCCTTTCATTTTTCTAGTAGATGTGATAGATACATTATTGTGATCTTTGAAAGTGAGATCCCCTGACATTATTACTCCCAGGTCCTTCATATTAGTTTCTCGCTCTATTGTGTGACTGGAATTTGTTTTATACTCCAACATAGTGTGTGTGAATATCACAGCCGCCCAGTCAAGTACAGGTGAGTCAAATACTTATCACTGTGTTGTTATCAGTGAGCTGCCAGAGTGAGCTGTTTGCTAGGTAGGGGCTGTGACGTCACAGCAGCATGCTGCAGGTAAGTGCATGTGATTGCACATGCACAGTGCTGTGATGTCACAAGACAGTACAGTGGGTCAGAGCTGGTGCGTGCATGCGCTTCGCTGTGATGTCACAAAAAAGAGCATGACGGGTGGGGTGCATGCGTTGTTTATGACATCGTGAGAGCATCGGCGGGTCAGTGCGTGCGTGCGTTTGCATGATGCTGTGACATCAGGTGTACGCATGAGAGGTGCTGTGACGTGATGACAGCATGGCGGGTCAGAGGAGGCGTACGCATGCGCTGGTCTCTCAAAGTGGTGCACCTCAGTCACAGGCCTCAGTAGAGGTCCATGCAGCACAGAGAAAGCAGTACCTTGCCCACTCTGCTCACTGGAATGACCTATACCCTACCTGTATCTCAGTTATACAATAAATTATATAAAATACAGGTAAAGGTAGTCCAAGTTGTTCCAGGGAAGGCTGCGGATACTGTAAAGTTTTACGATGGATCAGGAGAATGTAGTATCATGGAGGGAGACAGTGAGACCTCCTGTGGTAGCAGCTGTGTTGTCTCCCTTGCTGCTGCTGGCCGACCTCGCACTTATTGCTGTCTTCATCTTGCGACAGAACTGGAACGCTGTCATTCTCTTGTCTGTGGTGTTCTTCTGTGGGACTCAGGCCATATACTGGTACTTCAGAACAAAGAGCATCTTAACCAACCGTCAACAGGTAGAGGACATTTCGTTGTTTCGTAATCCCTTTACGTTAACTTTTTTAAATGTTTCCACAGACGGAGAAGATGGAGGAGGGCAGGGGACGCTGTGGAGTGTGATGGAGGATGGCTCATCTGTGATGTAGGCTGATGAAGGAAGAAGCAAGTGTGTTGGTGTAGTTACTACCCCGGCAGTCACCCACCCACCGCCAAGATCATCTCCGCCATCAACCACAGCCATGTGTCCGCCTCTGTTGCCCTGGGTACTGGTACTCTTACCTACCTCCAGGGCCGCCCCTCCAGCCCTGACCACCCTCGTCATTTACATGTCATAAACTCATATAATGTGTGAATATAACTAGTAATGTACCTTGTCCTTCCCATTTTCCATCCTTGACGATGGTCGAAATGTTATATTTTACCATAGATCAAGTTTTATTGTGGTTCCACTGTATACACATTGTGTGTGTGTATTTATATTTATTTCTGAATTTTAATGTGTGATTCGCAAATACATTGTCTCATAAAACTAGTAGTGAATATAAATTTTGGAAATCTCACCTATTTGGAAAGTAGTGTAACCCGAAGCGCTGATGATTCACTCCAGGAGCTGCATATGAAGGCTGTTATAACAATAATGGTGAAGGCTGTTATAATAATGAACCGGCAGTAGAGAAAAGGACCAGTCACTAGTGTCAGTCGAGACCTAACTAGAGGTTGAACATTAGGGAATTCTACAGTGCTGCAGTGGTGACTGATGCACTTCAAACTCTCTCTGGTCATGACAGTAGTGTTGTTGGTCACATAAGCCGAGGTAATAGCGCATTTGAGTTCGTAAATAAAGGCAGTAGTAGACTTGGCTTCGTATCAAGAGGAATAAGTAATGTAAGTGTCCTGAGTTACAACACTATATCCTTAATATGATCTCATTTATATTATGTAGCACAGATCTCTTCTCCTGTGTTACAAAACGCGTTAGGTAAGATGACACAAAACAAATGATGAGACATTTATTGCTACTTCGTTTCGCTCTCCGGGAGCCTTATCAAGCTTATACAAACAATACAGGAACACGGTATTTACTAATGATTCTGACTAGTGTTAGTGGTAGTAGACATGACTTGACGGGTAACGATGGAGTTTATAGTTTTAAGGAGGATTCGTGCTAATGTTTCAGAGATGGCAAGCTGCCCTTATCCTGTGTAATTGTATCTCAAATATTAATGATGCTTTAATGCATTATTGTCTGAGTGTTTGGTATTTCAGTCACTTAGAGGGCATCATTCCATTCCAAGTGGCTGGTGGTGTTGTTCAAGTTATCACATCTGCGTCGTAGACGTGTGTGATTAGATGTGCAGAACACGTATGTGCACAACATAGGAAAACCATCAGCCACTTGATGAAATGGAACAACTTCCACTTAGTGATTAATGAGCCAGACGCCCACAGACAATAATGCCTTGAAGCATCATTACTCTCCATTTCAGATACAATTACACAAAACAAAGGCAGCTTTGTCATCTTTGAAATATTAATATGAATCCTCAAAACGATTAAATTCGTTGTCTTCTGACAAGTCACTATCTACTACACTACTACAACTACATGGACCAGTAGGTCTTCTGGTATAGAGTACCGACAAGTTAATGAAGAATACACACGTGCAACAGCTGGGATTTTTATCTCCAATGCGTTTCGTTGGCTCTGCAGGCGTCTTCAGTCGAATACAGAGGTTACTAAAATGTCGAGGACAGCAGCAGTGGAGAGGTAAACATGAGGTGGTCAGTCCTTCAGTATTGAAGAAAATTTTCAGCTAGTCTTCTCTCAGTTTTGAGAAATGTTCAGTTCTATAGTCTCGATCACTACCAGTTTGTTCACTGAAACTAGCACTTTGTGTAGCTTTAGAAATAACTAAGAGAGTGAATTAGATAAATTGTGTGGAGGCTGCGTCCTAGCATGGGCCAGTAGACCTGTTGCAGTGCTTCTGTATTCTTATATTATTAAACTGTGGATAAATGGAACAAACTCCCATTGTTTATTTTGCTTGGTTGAAATACACGTGAAACAATGTTGGGTGTGAACAGGAGCTGCCTTGCACGAGCCGCCAGTAGGCCTAAGGCAGTGCTCGATTCTTATCAGAGTTTGGTTTTGGTGTCTAGGGAACGTAACTCAACCTGTGCTCACATTCATGATACTGATCGGAGGTGCTCTAGGGGCTTAATAATTATTAAGTGAAAGAACTACCAAAAATGTCGTATTCTGAATGAAAACTAAACGAGGCTTCAGTCCTGGATTATAATGAGATAGAGAGTGACAAAGAAAACAGGAGAATGTCAGCAGTGAGATCACGGCAGAGGTCAGGAGACACCAAAGGTCGAGTCAAAGTCACGTGTATTCTAAAGATTAAATCAATTGACAATGTATTGTATTTGCGTGAAGCGCTAAACCTGTGTGGTTCATTCAGCTCAAGGAGTGGTGGAGGCTCGAACCCGTGTCCTTTTATCGCGGCCCGGACCCTGACCAATAAAACTGCTTGTGAAGCCACGAAAAAGCTACTGAAACAGTAAAGTGTGTTTTAATATCAGAGCAGAAACGTTATGTACTTAGTCAACAAGACTGTGTCAGTCAAGTCTATAAGAGGAATGTATATTATTTAGAAAAAGATAAGCTTGTGAGATAGATTTAGTCACTTTAATTGCTTTAGGATACACCATACACTCAGAGTGGGAGGTGGTAGAAATATTGAGAGGCACATAATGGGTCCTAGACCCAATATGTGCGTCTAATATTTTGTGTTATGACAGCTAAGTTACATGGGTCCAGGGACTGGGCCCCAGTGTTATGAGAGGTAAGCAGGTTACATGGGACCATGGACTGGGTTCCTGTAATGGTACCTAAGTAGGTTACATGGGCTCAGGGACTGGGCTACAGTGTTGTAGTAGCTAAGCAGGGTACATGAGTCCAGGGACTGGGCTCCAGTGTTATGGTACCTAAGCAGGTTGGTATAAACCTTGGTAAAAAATACCGACAACTTGGTTTAGAAAGACACGTAAGTAAACACTATCATATATTTATTAGAAAAGGTTTCGGTCCCAGGACCGTAACCTTCTCTGATAAATATGTCATAGTGTTTCCTTACGTGTCTTTCTGAACCAGCTAAGCAGGATACATGTGTCCAAGATCTGGATACTAGTGTTATGGTAGCTAAGCAGGTTACACGAGCCCAGGGACTGGGCCCAAGTGTTATGGTAGCTAAGCAGGCTACATGGGTCCAGGGGCTGGGCTCCAGTGTTACGGAAACTAAGCAGGTTACATGAGTCCAGGGACTGGGCCCCAGTGTTTTGGTAGCCAAGCAGGTTACATGGATCCAGGGACTGGGCCCAGGTGTTATGGTAGCTAAGCAGGGTACATGGGTCCAGGGACCGGGCCCCAGTGTTAAGGTAGCTAAGCAGGTTAAATGGGTCTAGGGACCGGGCCCCAGTGTTTTGGTAGCCAAGTTGGTTACTTGGGTCCAGGGACTGGGCCCAAGTGTTATGGTAGCTAAGCAGGGTACATGGGTCCAGGGACTGGGCTCCATTGTTATGGTAACTAAGCAGGTTACATGGGTCCAGGGAGAGGGGCCCCCGTGTTATGGTAACTAAGCAGGTTCCATGGGTCTAGGGACTGGATCACTGTTATGGTACCTAAGTAGGTTACATGGATCCAGGGACTAGGCCCAAGTGTTATGGTAGCTAAGCAGGGTACATGGGTCCAGGGACTGGGCTCCATTGTTATGGTAACTAAGCAGGTTACATGGGTCCAGGGAGAGGGGCCGCCGTGTTATGGTAACTAAGCAGGTTCCATGGGTCTAGGGACTGGATCACTGTTATGGTACCTAAGTAGGTTACATGGGTCCAGGGACTGGGCCCAAGTGTTATGGTAGCTAAGCAGGGTACATGGGTCCACGGACTGGGCTACATTGTTATGGTAACTATGTACGTTACATGGGTTCAGGGACTAGGCTCCTGTGTTATGGTACCTAAGCAGGTTACAGAGGTCCAAGGACTGGTCTCCAGTGTTATGGTACCTAAGCGGGTTACATGGGTCCAAGGACTGGGCTCCAGTGTTATGGTAGCTAAGCAGGTTACATCGGTTCAGGTACTGGGCTCCAGTGTTCTGATACCTAAGCAGGTTTCATGGATCCAGGGACTGGGCTCCACTGTTATGGTAGCTAAGCAGGTTACATGGGTCCAGGGACTGGGCTCCATTGTTATGGTAGCTAAGCAGGGTACATGGGTCCAGGGACTGGGCTCCATTGTTATGGTAGATATGCTGGGTACATAGATCCAGGGACTGGGCTCCATTGTTATGGTAGCTAAGTAGGGTACATGAGTACAGGGACTAGGCTCCATTGTTATGGTAACTAGGCAGGTCACATGGGTCCAGGGACTGGGCTCCAGTTTTATGGTAGGTAAGCAGGTTAAATGGGTCCAGGGTCTGGGCTCCAGTGTTATGGTAGCTAAGCAGATTACATAGGTCCAGGGACTGGGCTCCAGTGTTATGGTAACTATGTACGTTGCATGGGTTCAGGGACTGGGCTCCAGTGTTATGGTAGGTAAGCAGGATACATGGGTCCACGGACTGGGCTACATTGTTATGGTAACTATGTACGTTGCATGGGTTCAGGGACTGGGTTCCAGTGTGATGGTAGCTAAGCAGGTTACATGGGTCCACGGACTGGGCTACATTGTTATGGTAACTATGTACGTTGCATGGGTTCAGGAATGGGCTTTAGTGTTATGGTAGCTAAGCAGGTTACATGGGTCCAAGGACTGGGCTCCAGCGTAATGGTAGCTAAGCAGGTTACATGGGTCAAAGGGATGGGCTCCAGTGTAATGGTACCTAAGCAGGTTACATGGGTCCATGGTCTGTGCTTCAGTGTTATGGTAGCTAAGCAGGTTACATGGGTCAAGGAACTGGGCTCCATTTTTATGGTAGCTAACCAGGGTACTCGGGTCCAGGGACTGGGCTCCTTTAT